ATAACATACGAGAACATTTTTATGTAAGACAATGATAGCACATTGAAATTGTCTTGATTACATATCGACTCGACGCCTTTGTCAAGTAAACAAAAAGAGAATCATCATTTGAGGATTTGCGACTTACACCTAAAATCTATTTGCACAAATTATTTCTTTACGAGTTCAATCACAACCATCAACTTACTCAAGCCAAATCTCTTTATATAAAAGTCAATTATAGAAATGATTGATCGTTCACCTTTTTTTAAAGTTTTTACGGACAAATCGACTATTTATTTTCCATAGTTGGCTAAGGCATTTGCAAAATGGAAGAGAAATCAAATGAATAATCATTACCTGTTTTCTCTTCCTACAATTTTGAAAGACCTATGGAAATGACAAATACGTACCATCATTTTCCCGCGTGTACCAGGGAATATACTGGGCTCTTGTTTGGTTCAGATAAAAATTTAAATTTTAATAGATTTTGTAGTTAAAATATTGTAAACTCTATAAAAATATGTGATTAAAATTAATTGCTGACTTTAACTTAAATTTTTATCTAACTTTTGAAATGACAGTGTTGGCATTAGGAAGACAAATTAAGGTATTTTTGGATCACTATTTGGGCCGTGGTTCCGTAATTATTGGGCTTCAGGCTTTGGGCCGGATTTAGCCCGTTGATGAAAGAGTGGGGGGCAGGAGAATGAGAAAAAAAGAAAAAGTAAATGTGGCTGGTGGGATTCGAGCCCAGGTCTCCACGGCCACAACGTGGAATTCTTACCACTAAACTACAGCCACTTTGTTGTCTCTTGGCTTGATATTATTTATTTCACACATTTCCTCCTATGCATACCGTCATTAACATCGTTACTTTCCGCAAGACTTTGTTATCCTTCCCAAACCCATTTAAAGAAATTGAGACCCAACATCTTCACCTTTCAAAATCAATGTAAAACAAGTTCCCTTCAGCTTGCTTTCATCCCTCCAATTATAGGACAATTTACTCATTCACTCTTGTCTAGTTGTTTATGTCAATGTTCTATTTTTATCTATTCCTTTCATTAATCTGTGGCATTTGATGGGCGCAGTGCATTTGTATTTGATATATGAGAAAATGTAAAATGTATATACGTAGAAAACATAAAGATGGAATACAATACATAAACACTGGTTGACTGATGTCACCCAAAGAAAACAGAAAACATATATAGAGACTGAAATGCATGAAAATCACAAAGGAACAAATCTCCTTTTACGCCAGCATGAGGTCTGTCTATTCTAATCATAGCCACCATGGGAGCATCGGGAGGTATCGAGAAAATACTACTGACAGTTTACTTGGAAGGTGGTGGAGACAAGACAGGGATGGTAGGAATCGAAGGGATGTTTGGGATGGAGGGGAATGAAGGCATTGGGGGCAATGCGACCTTGGGCATGCCGGGAATGGTTGGAATAGTTGGCTGTGTCGGGATGGCTGGAATGGAAGGCATTGGTGGCACGGCCAGTTTTGGGAAACTCGGGATGGTGGGAACTGGTGGCATTGGTGGCAAAGTTGGCTTTGGTAATGTTGGAATAGTTGGCATTCCCGGTAGAGGAGGAGGCAATGATTGCAGGAGAGTACGCGCAGCCTCGCATTTTTTATCGCTGGTGACGGCTATAACCGCGAGGATGAAAATGCAAGTGTAAAAGCTTCTAGCCATGATTGTTTGAAGATTAAAATGAAGTTTCTTTATTTTTTTTTTCCTTTATCAGTTGGGAATAGAGAAGTTTTGAATTTGATGATGGAAAACAAACTGCATTTGGAGTATTTATAGATGGAGTTCAATCCCAGGGTTGAAAATTATGTTTGATATTGGTGAAAATAGGTTCAGTTTGGTTTTGACTTTGATTTTTCATTTTGTTTTATTCTTTGGTTATGACTCTGGTTGGTTGTTTGGAAATTCTGAAAATAGCTGCTGATATTGGTGTAGTTAGCTAAATCATTTTTCCTATAAATAATAATTAATGTCTGATCGATGGAGACTTTTATTATGTTGTTAAACCACCAGTGAAATATGAGAATAAAAATTAAATAATTCTTTCTATAAATACTTTAATTTTAGTAAAACTTAAACCCAAGTTGTTCTTGGTAATAAACAATTTCACTTCTTTTACAGTATGATGTCTTTTATTATAAATTCTTTAACAAATTTTATATGCATGTTTTAAATAGTGAAGTTATTTAATAAATTTTACTTTCTATTTGGTAAGAGACAGTTAACAATTAAATTTAACTACATAGTTCACACAATTTTTGTAACGATCCTATTTTTATGCCCAAATCTTTATATCATACGTATTGTCCGCTTTAATTGGACATTTGTCCATTTATCCCCTCACGACTTTTTATCTAGTCCTCCAAGATTCAAATGTGAAATGTGTATGATCACATAACAAAATATTATACAAGCATTACAACAATCAATGCAAGTAATACAATATAATGTTACATAAAAGGATACAACATATAAAATGACGTGAAACATTACATAAGATATACAAAATTACTTTTGCCGGAAAAGATGTTAACTAAATCTTGTTATTTGAACTCGTAGTTTTTTTATTATTATTTAATATTAGGTTCATTTACTTTGATGAAAGGAAAGTAGATTGCTCGAATTTAACATATATCGATTTTAAAACCTACATCAACTCTAAAATAATTTTTTTTACTGAACACTCATTTGATTCTTTGTCTTACTTATTATTTTTTCAGTATAGTTAAAGCCGATTCTCTTAAAGTCTATCTTGAATTTGTTTAATTATTTTCTTAGTTTAGTTTTTAGAAAAACAAAACAAGAAATTACAAAATATATTTTTTCCCATGAAAGTAAAAATTACAAGATAAAGATATAAAAAAAAACGAAATAAATAAAGTTGAAATAAATGGAAACACACTTTTTAAGATTCAACTTCATAAATAAGATTTTAAGTTTCATCTTTCAAACTCATGATAATTAATTATTTACTATTTATTAAATAAATGCTATATTAAAAGAATAAAAATTAAAAACAACTCTCTCTCTCTCTCTCTCTCTCTCTCTCTCTCTCTCTCTCTCTCTCTCCCCCCAAGAATAAGAAAAAAAAACAACTCTCTCTCTCTCTCTCTCTCTCTCTCTCTCTCTCTCTCTCTCTCTCTCTCTCTCCCCCCATTCTCTATTTTGGTGGCACAATCATGCACTATCGCCATAAGAAGTGACTTTACCTTCATGCAAAGTGGCATGTACCTTCGTCGATGCCCTTGCTTTTACTGGATTCTGCAACTGAAAAACAAGAATAAGATTTTCTAAACATCGATTGAAGGCTATTTTGGTTGATGTTTGTCCATGGTTGAGGTCGTCTTGGTGTGGATTAACCACTTGTAGTGGTTCGTGATCATGGGCATCTAATGGAGGCCTAATTTTGCACAAATTTCTCTTCAGTCCTTGGTGGCTGATTTTAGCTGGAATAATGTTTTGGTTGATGTTTGTCCTTGGTTGAGGTCGTCTAGGTGTGAATTAACCAATGTAATGGTGCACGCGATCATGGGCATCACTGTGTAAGCTGGATTTTGCACAAATTCCATCCTACTCTTGGTGGCTAATTCTAGTCAAAATCTCCTGCAATTTGAATCAATTGTCGCTTTGGTGGTTTCTTGGTTGTTTTAGTCATTGGTGATTTGCTTTGGTCCTTGATAGTTTTCTTGTTTGCAATTTTGCAAATGGTGGTCGTGGTGATGATATAGTGGTCATTATGTTAGAGTTTTGGTGGTTTTTTTATTCGATGAGCTATGGTGGTGTTGACGGTGCAGGTGGTGGTGATGGCGTTGGATCTAAGTTGAATTGGGGTTGTATAAGGAGGGTTGGCGACCAAGGTCAGAGGTTCATTGTGTATAAGTCATCAATATATTTCCACATGTCAGATATCAAAGACGGTTGGGTTGGATTGGATTGTGGTTGTACAAAGAGGTTTTGTGACCAATTATTTAGGTCATTAGCGTCGATGGTCACAGGTCATTATCCATGTGGTTGATCTTGTTTTCTTTGACCAAATTTGTTATATGTGTTGGGTTTTTGTTTCTCTGACTAGATTTATTGTGTGGATGGTGATGGTGTAGGTGGCGATGTGGTGCTGGTGTTGGGAGGTTATGGGGAATTTAGGATTTAGGGTTTTAGGTATTGGAATGAATTAGATTTTGATCTAGAGTTTTGGTGGTGGTGGACTGGTGTCGACGATGCTATTGGTCATGTTTTAATTTGCACATCTACTAGGTCACATATCATATAGTCACAAATCAGTGTAAACAAGTTACATATCAATTTTAATTGGTCCGATCTGGTCACAAAACAAATGTACATTTCCAATGATAACAAGTCACATATTCAAATGTATGGTCCACAGTACATGTTATAGATCAAAGACAGAAGTTATCAAGTAGCGGGTCATATTTTATTGGTAACGGATCATTGTCAACTAGTCATAGACCTAATGGAATTGGTCATTGGCCAACTAGATTGATATCACAGGTAAATGTACAATCACCTATCAAAAATTTGACAACCACTATAGAATTTCGGCAACATCTCACCATTATCGACATTTGCACAACACCAACAACCACAAAAAAAACCCCAAATTTGGACATCATCATTGGGACAATCGTCGACAACGTGGTCGACATCATCACTAGAGTCATCATCAGAGCTGCCGCCGCTGCTATCGAAATGAAGAGGGGGAGAGAGAAGAGAGGAGATAGAGATAGAGAAGACTGTCTCTAAAAATCCAAATATGGTAATGGATGGAGTGGGCGTAGGGATGGGTGGGTTGTATATTAATTTTTGTATATTAATTGACTTTAATAATATATAATAAACAATGTTAATCATCTATTTTTGAAAGATGGAACCTTATTTCTTAAAAATGAAATGGTGAATTGTTAAGATCTTATATTTGAAAAAGGTACAGGACCCATCATTTAGCGGGCTCTTACCGAACCAAACAATATGGGCCAGCCCTTCACGAGAAAAAATTGCTTAGGAAATTAGGGTATTGAACGAAATAGCAGCTAGAAGAAATAATTCCGTTCCCTTACAATAACACCGCCAGTCTCATCTGTAGGATCGGCGCCAACAGGGAGAACCAACATGAGAGCTAAGGTTAGCGGAAATTTCCCAATTATTTTCAATACAGTCACTCTTAATGCACAGTCACTATCAATTATGTCTTATTTTTTTCTTTTTTTTTTTGTAATATAATTATCGATTTCCTAGTGTTTTATTAATATTTTTTTCTTACCGTGATCGGTGATATTTTGTTTCTACTTGTAATTTCTTAAAGATGGTTTATAGTTTTATTGATTAATTGGCTTAGAACGTTCTTGTTCTAGTTGTGCGAATGGAATCGGGCTTGTTGTGCTATATGATGTTAGACTATTCTACTTGCTAGTGAATGCGATCTATTTCATATCCTATACTATAGAGAACATATTTAGATTTGATTATTCCAAGTGCTTTTGGATTATTTACCATTTCTTGATTATGCGTAGCTCTACGTACTAATTTGGCTAGCTTTTCCCTTCTCAATCTAAAATAAGGTGTCTTTACTGGAGAAAAAAGAAGTAAAATGAGAGCTAAATTAAGAATACGTTTCACTTTGAAACTGGAAATACGAGATGTAGGTTTAACTAGATGAAATTTTTTTTTATTGCGGATTATTAAATTTTGAGTTGTTAACAATGATACTGTGGTTGGTTAGCTAAAAAGGTTGTAAATTATGTGATAGGAACAGTAGGATAATGTTTTGTCATGAGCTGGCTCTCTTATAGCTTTAGCCTTTTGTGGATGCTAAGCCAAGTTTTCATTCATTTTATAGTGGAAGAAGAAGCGAATGAGGAGGTTGAAGAGGAAGCGCCGAAAGATGAGACAAAGATCTAAGTAGAGGAGGATAGTGAGAAGGCTTCTTTTGCATGAACCATTTCTTCTTAACTGGCTGCCTAACGACCAAGAAAAGTGGAAGAAAGTTCTGTTGATGGGGCTGTCTTGTTTGTTCCTACTCTCGTGTTTTGTAGTTTCATCTTTGTGGAAGTTTAGGTTAACTTGCGAGCTTTTACTGTCTACTTTCATGTTACCGAACTAAAAGAGCACATGACATTTGTATTAAATCCGTTTATGAATAGATGCATGGGCGTTTCGGATATCATTTGTGGCTTCGTTCTTTCATTTCATTCCTTTTTAAGGCCTGTGTCGTTCTAATTTCTGATATTCTGCAGTGATTATGTCCTATTTCTTTCTTCATTCTTCCCTTCTTCCCTACTCCTGTTAGTGATTGTTTTGACTATATTAGCAAGAAGAGATTGGAAGAAGCTACTATGGTAAAACTTTAAAATGAGTGTCAATTCTGCAAATTCTTTGCGTTATAACATCAACTGAACCAGAAATGATCATCGAAATATTCTTGTTACAAATCTCTCCATCTAGCCACCTACATTTGCAGTTGTAGCGATACCATGATATAAATCCAGTGTAATCACTTGCTTCCTCTCCCCATGTTGCTTTCTGCATTCGAATTTAAAGGTCATATTGCATAGAGATCCCTTCTACTGTATCCTGACTCATGACTTGTGCTACAATTTTAAGGTTGTAAACCCAAGTGCAGGTTGTCTCAAGTAGTAAACTTGGAAGTCCAAGGTTGAACCACAGAAAAATGGAAGGAAATAAAGTAGTCTATGAGTAGTTAATAGTTGATGAAAATACGATGAAGAAGAACTAAAGCGTTGGGGATTCAGTTTGCATAAATGAGTAGAAATTACTCTTGATCTTTTATTTAACTGATATGAAAATCAACTAGGGAGTGATCTCATATGAAAGATAGAACATTGATCACAAGCATGCTAAAAGATAGTTCGTGATAATTGTTTGAGAGAATATGTCAAAATAAGTTATTGATAGGTAGAGATTATATAAACATTTGTTGTGCCAAAATTATCAACAATAAATCAAAGTTTCTAACAAACCAAAAACATTTGTAGAACATTTATTTCAACCAAATAAGAAGATGAACATTGAAGAACAAAGTGAAAGATGAAAGACAAGATTCATCAAAGTTTCACCCCTAGCTTTAGCTAAAGTTTTAGAAATATATAATGAAATGTTACAAAGAAAATGAAGGAAACTAGAATATGACAAAGAGGAATTGATGCCCCCAAACTCTTGACCAAGATCTCATTTTATAGGCAAAGGAACATCCAACATGCAAGTGAACAATGCAACTTGTTTTTGTTCAGCTTGAAGATAGCTGGAACATGCAACTTGATACCAATTTTCAGATATTGTGCAGCGAATTTGGACTTTTAATCAAAAGATAAGTTGTTGCTACTTGAGTTATTTTTCCATTAGTGCAAATATCAGGTTCATTGGATCTTTGCAACTCCAAATATGGCAAAAACAATGAGTACTGCTCATAGGTAAAAAAGCTGTATTCGACTGGTAACAACTTGGATTTTGCTCGGTAATTTTGACTACCCTATGATGCGAATTTGACTTCTTGCGAAATATAAAAGTTTTAGATACATATTTTATCTTTCCAACCCAACTTGAATCACCTTGGTTCGATAACTACAGCTCAAGTTATGGTCATTTAACCGAAACAGTTCCATCTTTACTCGAGACAGCTCACCATTCTTAACTTTCAACATTTTTTCCTCCACTTGCTCCATTTGTTCTACATTGGAAATACATGTGAAATATATCAAATAAATACTCTTTCAAAAGTATAATAGTCATGCTGACATGTATATAAATACGTATTTAGATTAATTGCACTTTTTAATCATGTATTTTTTTTATGCAAATTGAATTCATTACAAGAGAATTGAAATTACAGACTAACACTAGTGAATTTATACAAAATGAATGTAAAATGCCTTGTAAATGTTATATCTTTAAAACACTTTTGGACATTAATCAACTTGTTTTAGATGCAGCTTTTTCAAAACGACTGCCCATTTCCTTTTCTTCGTCGTGAATGATTTCTTCCACTAAAATCGTATAAGTTGTGTCATTAGGCATATAGCCCTTCTCAATTGTTTCGAACACTTCCACAGACAAGTCTGTTTTGTGAGATTCGCATAAACGGTAAACCAAGCACAAGTGCATTGACATTGTCAACATCAGGCTGGTAGCCACTTTCTTCCATTACCCTAAATACATCCACGGCAGCACCCAACATTCTCCCCATGCACAAACTTCTAATCGAAGACGAATATGTGTAAGAGTTGGGATTAAATCCAGATTCTGCGATCTCATACAGAAGCTGAAATGCTGGATAAGTGGTCTTTCCTGCATAAACTTGAGATGACATTTATGTAGAAGCCATGAATAGAGGACATCTGTTTATTTCTCAAAGTTCGGATAATTGAAAACGCCTTTTGCACCATTCCCTCCTTGCATAGCACAGCAACAGCATTATATGTTTCCTCATTAGGACTACAATGTCGATGAATCATTTGGTCCAGACTATGTAACTACCCCGTCTACCTCTCTCTCCTTGCAAAGACTAGCAATAATTGGGTTATAACTAGCTGCAGTGATTTTGAATTGTCCATCTATATATAGCCGATCAACTACCTCAGAGTGCCTCATCTGTTCGCACATGAAGCGCAAGGGAATAAATCAATATATTACACGTGACTATAGATGGCTCGCGTTCATCTCTAACCATCTGTGCAAGATGTTCATTTTGCCACCTCCCAACGCCCTTCATTGCACAAGCTCCTAAACAATCCATTATGATTTTGTAAGGTTGCTATCTTTCACTAGATTAGCTCCTTTTTATTATCTTGAGATTATCAAATCATATGATCATCATCTTGAGATCATATAACCATAAGATTGCACACACTATATCGCTCATTTATTGTTTTCAGACCATATATGAATGACTGCAAATCGCAATTTTAACAACCTTGTGTAGATGTTCCTTTGGTGTGGCTATAATAAGATCTTATTGCTTTCGAAATCAAACAAAAACAACATTAGGATTCAATTAGTCTACTGGAATAGGAATACATGAGCAAAGTAGAAATAATGAACTTATCATATGCATTATAGTAACAAACACCTTTTCGGCAACCTTGCAACCTAAACGCTTGGCAATATGGGCAAAACTATCTGCAACTGTAAATTTCTAACCTATAATTCCCCATTACTAACAGGGATGCAAAGCAGAGCATCAAAATATGATCGCGAGTTAAAATACTGACAACACATTTCGTCAATGGCCTACTTAAAACTTCCACCATCGTGCCAGGACCGATGTCCCTTTTATCTTGAAAAGATGTAAAAAGAAAAACTGAAACCTTTATCTTGAAAAGATGTAATAAGAAAAACTGAAACCAGCTGATATGTCGAAACCATGACCTTGTCTACTAAGTAGCCTGCAATTTACTTCATTTCACAGTGGAATGGGCACCACGACACTATCAAGAGCCACCACTCCCTCCGCCCTGACCCCTAAGACCCAACATGGGCATGGACCGCTGTGTGAATTCCAATAACAGTTTTCTCTGAGGCTCGCTTGTATGAGGGAGACTTGCTCGTAAGAGCTCAACCGGCATCTCTCTACTGATGGCTCTGGTTGCATCAGACCCAAGAGTAGCTGTCTCTAATGAGGCTTGGGCGAGGAAGGATTTCATAACAGAATCATATTTATTAAAGCAGTATTTCGTGAGGAGACCAAAGAATGCATCAAAAGAGGCCTGCAAAAATTCTCTGTTAGAAATGCAGCAGTTGGCCGCAGCATGAGGGTTTGTCAGGAGCTCAGTTGCCCTCTCGAGAAGAGACTTGAGAACAATAGATGCCCCATCTCTATTGAGGCTTCCAATGGGACGCAGAGGAGGATGCTCAGCTGAACAAAACCACGGATGCAAGGCAGGCCTCTCCATACTGTGGACACAAGATGACACGACTCTTGCAAGGTTGATAGTTGGTTCAGAAGCTCTAGGATCATCATGAAGGCCACCAAACAAGAATCTCAAATGATGTAAAAGGGCCATGCAAACTACTCGAGTGAGTTCGTCACCTGGAGAAAGAAGTTGAAGATACCTTGATAGGAACTTCCGGCCCTTAGGAAGAGAAACTAACCTTAAGAGGTCAAGGTCATCTTCAGGAGCCAAGTCCACTGTGTGGCCATTTTTCCCAGGAGGATCAATAAGCTGAAGGGATAATGCCAAACCTTCTAACAGGATGTGCCTCCTGTTGTCAGAAATTCGACTAACGCAATCAAAAGAAGAAATAAAATAAGCAGAAAAATAGACAGTAAATGAAGCGAGGTATGCCAATAAAGTAAGCAAATCTCCTTAAGACAGATTTCGCCCCCCAATGAAGTGCAAACGGGATTATGGACGTCTATCTCCCAAGATACAACGCTCCTTCCAAAGTCGATACTGCACAATACCAACCTTGTCGGTCGAACCAATGAATGATCGTACTTGAACGGAATAACGACGGAAGTATAAGAGATTTTTTACGAGCAGAATATGGAGATAGAAGAATTTAGAAATCAATTGAATTCGTAATTGATTTGGTGTGTCAAAAAACGAATATGGGGGTCCCTATTTATAGAGATTGAAGTGTCTCATGGAACAGGTGTGTGACATTTCAGGAACTGGTGCACCACTTGGTCTGATTCGTCTTAGCCATTGGATCGCACTATTTTTATGATCTGACGGCCTAGAATGCCTACTCATCGAGCCTTGTGCTGCCACGTCATCGAACCACGAGTCCATTTCCGAAAACTATAAGGCTCCCCAGCTCCCCGCGACGATGCGTACGTGCGAAGTGCCAAGTGCGCCTCTAAAGCGCCCAATGCGTACTTTGCGACGTGCGCGTGCCGGGACCGGGTCCGGGGAACGGTGCTAGTGGTGACTAGCCTTTGGCTAGCTAAAGTTAGCCAAGTGATAGGTAACATATTAAATTATATATTATTTACACAACCCACTATATAAACAAGACTATTTTCTTGTAAACTTTCGATGTGGGACTCCTTTCCATATAAAAACCACTTAAAATGGGCTTATCAACATATGGGCCTATATTGGAGACTTTTCCAATTCACTCAAATTAATTGCAATGACCCATATCATTAAATATTACATTTAATATTTTAAACCCAAATCAAATTCAATTAATTCCAACAATCCTTTGCCTTAACTGGGCACCACCATCTTGGAGCTGATTAAATTGTAGGAATCTATCAATATCATCAACAAGAAGGAGAAGGCAAATGCCATCCTCAATGGTCACTCTAGCCGCAAGCATTGGCTCCTGTTCCAAAGGGTTCTCAAACAGTTCAGCATTACCACTACCAGATGAATTTGGGGAATCAACTTCAAGAAGTGGATGGGGCCTGCGTATTGAAGAGAAGGAAAGCCTCCCAAGAGCATCGATCTGGAGAAAAGCATGTGGCTCTTTGTTAGAACAAGCTCCGGAAAATTTATCACGCAGATAAGATGGGCAGAAATGGTGTTTCAACTTTGCACCGGAAGATTTTTTGGCCAGACAAGCTTGATAGTAATAATCATCAATATAAGGATCATTGCTATGAGTAGTAGCAAGCTGCATTCTCACAATGTTTTCAATTTCATCGGCTGTCATGTACTTGGACTTGAACTTTGGCCACCCACTAATTCTCAGCATTGACATAGCCCTTGCATCTCTCATATCAGCTAATCCAAGCATCTCAGAGTTATTTATCAAAGGCGGTGATGCAGAAATGTGAGGATTGTGAAGTTGAGGCAGCAACCCCGATAGATGGAAAAAGGATGGCTGAAACGGATGCTGAACTCTGTGTGGCTGGGAGTGCAGCTGTGGAGGCATTAAACCATTTTGATGGGGTAACTGCTGTTGCTGAAAAATCTTGTTTGGGCCAGGACGCTCTACAGGATATAAACTAGGTTGGTTCTCCCACTGGTTCTGGAGTTGACTATTAACTGGCTGGCCATGAGTTACCTGAGGAATATTTCCTCCATACAGTGACCCGTGAGATAAGGCATTCGCATGAAGCTGAGGATTAGAGAAAGAAGAAATATTGGAAGAAGCAGCTGCCATTTGGTGCCCACCTGGGCGATATGCAAGATTAGGGTGGCTAGATTGACTACTTGCTGAAGCCTGCTGTGACCTGCCATCTGTGGGAGGATATGAAGTGAACGGCATATTTGGAACAAGATTCGCTTCAATAGAATGGTGATGTCGTAGGCGTTGCCGTTCAGGGTGTGACGATGTTCTGTACAAAGATTTGGATTCCATGAAGCTGATAAAGGAAGAATATGGCTGTGATGACCATCTTTTGCTTTCCTCAGTGCTTGCAGCATCAAAAGCATGCTGATCAAACCAAATGGGAAAATCGGACTCTTGGTCCTTTCAGTAGCAGATGAACCTGAAACTTGATAACGCGAGGGAAAATTGACAATCTTGATAGACCAACTAAACCAAATAACTACTCTTGATTCATATGTCAGATGCTAACATTTGACTTTTCTCCACCAAGTATGAACTTTTCCAAATTTGTTTCATTGAATTCCCTCGCATTTAAAGATGGCCTATAGACTATGCCCTTGTTTGTGCCTCATTTTTTTGAGAAAATCTTAAATAGTGTTTTGACATCATTTCAATCACATATTATTCAATAAAATAATATTACACGAAAATCTAAAACTTTTCTTTATTTTTTAACCACACATTTCACATCATTATACTATTCAAAAATGGGGCTCAAACAAGGGCTATATTAGAACACAGTTGAAAATTTTGCCCTATGATATAACCACACTAACATAACGTAGCACTTCGGAGAAACAATGAGCTGGCCAAAAGGCAATTATTTCATGTAATGTAGAGTTAGTGTCTTGCACATTCATACAAACTGTACAGAGAATTTCATCAACCATGAGAAATGCAACTGCAGAAATTCACCCAAACAATATTAATGCGTGTGATACAAAATTTGACAAAAAGGAAATACGTAAGCAAACCAAAGTTTCATGTCCCATTTGCACAAAAAGATAACTAAAGGAATATAATTAAATAATATAAAGCCTAAGATTTCCCAAGGGAGAAATTCAACATAAAAAAAGAAAAGAAAAAAGAGATATCAGCCCATCCATTATATGGGCAATAATAGAACTAAGTAATTATACCACAAGTAAATCTATCCAAAAATGTAACTAATTATGGCAAATATTAGAAAAATAGCAGCAGGTTTCATGACACAGACACACAATTACTACAATTGAAAATCAATTTGGTATTTTGAAGTAACAAATAAAAGGTTAGACTTCTGCAGGGAAGTCAAACATTGGTATGTTTATAGTAGGAAAAAAGCTACAGGATCAACAAAATTGTAAGATGTTTACTCAATCCAGATCTCAAGTAGATCAAAGTCAGACAAAGTTTGGAATTTCAATGTGATGAAACGTCAGATAAAAAGTGATGCAAATTCAACAATACTTTAAAATGATTCTCTTAATTACAAGTGCACAAACATGAATAATTCTACATATACATTATGGTATCCATAAGAATGTCCATAATGTACATGTGGAATTCCATGATTGGAGGGTTGAAAAAATGTTTTTCAACTCTCCAATAATGTTATGTCACTTATACATTATGGACACCCTTGTGGACACAATAATGTATATGTAGCATAACCCTCACAAACATAAATACTCTACCACAACAATTCAAAACATAAGCAAGCAAAGGAAAAGATCCTTCAGGAACCAAAAGAAGAAAGGGTACGCCATCGCACCTACTAGTGCCAGGCTCCGCTCGCAATTGAAGAACGAAGAAGATTTCCCAGAAGTAGCAATGATAACCGTTGGCAGGCAGAGGCCAGTAAAGCAGAAAGTTTCTCATTTTCAGAGCTTGATTCTCTATGTTATGGAAGTCTTTGATTAGATGGAGAAAATATATTAGACGAAACAAGAATGAGTTCTTTGTACAGCAGCATGAGTACAATTGTTCTAAAAAATCACATCAAATCAAAATTACTGAACATTGGAACCAGAAAGATCAATTTTTAGAAAATTTTGTTTATTTATTTATTTAATTTGACAATATTGTTAAAAGATCAAGATGAGGAATGATAATGAGATAAACAGAATGGTAGCAAATCAATGCATGGATAAAAAGAGTATCTAGGTATTCTGCGAATTCTTGAGTCCACTTTCTCTTTGGTCTGGAGATGATATTATCAAGTGTAGAACTGTAAAAGAACTGTTATTGAGTGCAGAAGTTCTATCCTCTTTTACAAAGAGACCATGACATTTATTATCAAGTCCATGCAGAATTCTCAAATACACACACACACACACATATATACAAAAATGAATCTCTTTATTTATTTTATAATATTTATTGAAGTAAAAACCAAATCTCATTGTACGAAAAAAAGGATAAGATTCCTATATAGTCATCCGTACAATGCCCCACCAAGCGAGAGAAAAGAACACAAGAAGGCAATGACTAGATAAATGTCGAAGACCAAAATTTGACAGTCAAAACTGATTTTAATCAATGGAGCTACGCCAACAAATTTTTTTTTTTTTTTTTATAAGTAATCAAATATTTTATTAATCATGGATAATACACAGGAAGTGTATTATCAATTAATACAAGACAGAAACGACATGAAATTGGACAACCCGTCTATACGAGTAATAGCCACATCATTAAACCAAATATACAGTATCAGATAAAACAATTCTTTAATCTGCTTTGTTGTCCGTGTATTATTGTCGAAACAGCAACTATTTATCTCCCTTCAAATACACCAGATAATGCATCATGGGACAAGGTCCCAAACAATCTTATTATCTTTATTACGAAATCTTCTTCCCCATGCCTTCAAAACATCCTTTATACGCTGTGGATATACCCAATCCATGTGTTAAGCAGCCAAAATATCGTTCCAAAGGGTGCGAGCAACGTCACAATGAATGAACAAGTGGTCAATCGTCTCTCCATTCCTCCGACACATATAGCACCATTCCATAACATAGAAACCCCTGCATCGGAGGTTATCCACCGTTAACACCCGTCCCCTCACAATCGTCCATAGGAAAAATGCCATCTGAGGGGGCAATTTACAACGCCATACCTTCTTCCGTAGGAATGAACTCTTCTCAGGTTCCAATAAAGATTTAAAATAAGAGCTTACTGAGAAAATGTCATCGCGTGGCAACCTCCACCTACTACGATCACTTTCGCCCACCCTGACGTGCACCTCATACAAAGAAGTCAGGAGTAGTGCATAATCATCCAATTCCCAATACTGTAGACCTCTCCCAAAAACAATGTTCCAGCTGGGATTCACATTATGCACCTGTAAGACTTCATACACCATAGCTTGCGGCATCAAAGTAATACGATATAGGGAAGGATACTCCGCTCTTAATGGCCGATTTGTACACTAACAATCATCCCAGAATCTGATAATATTGCCATTCCCCACCTCATACATTAATCTATCCTGAAATTCTCTCCACCCTCGTCGTATATACCTCCACAAATTCACCCCATAAAAACCACAATTCTCGGCTGAGCACCATCCCCCCTCTAGAACACCATATTTCGCCTCTAAAATTTCTCTTCAAAAGCTTTCCCTTTCCACACCGAATCGCCACATTCACTTACCTAGCAAGGCCTTATTAAACAATACAAAACTCAATTCGAGGCCCCCCATTTTTATGGAAGAACACACTACGCTCTGGTTAACCAGGTGAAGTTTCCTCCCCTCCCCTAAACCTCCCCATAGAAACTCTCTTTGAATCCTCTCTAATATTTTTACCACGGTAACAAGGATAGGAAACAATGACAAGAAGTAAGTGGGTAGATTCGATAAAGTGGACTTGATGAGTGTAAGATGGCCTCCCTTTGAGAGGTACATACGCTTCCAACCCGCTAACCTCCTCTCCACCCTTTCCATAATACTATTCCAAATGTGTATGTTTTAAAACCGTACTCCTAAGGGAAGCCCAAGATAGGACATAGGTAGTTGCGCAGTCCTATAACCCAATATGGCCGCTAACTCATCCACATTAGCAACATCCCCAACTGTGATGGCCTTAAATTTTCCCAAATTAATTTTCTATCCAGATACAGCTTCAAAGCATAGTAACACACAGCGCAAGTTCCTAAATTGCTGAGCCTCTGCATCATAAAAGATCAATGTATCGTCGGCAAATAGCAAATGGGATATCTGTAACTGGTTAATCATAAAGCCCCTTCAACAGACTTTCTCCCACAGCTTTCTCAATCATCCTACTTAAAGCCTCCATGACAATGACAAACAATAATGGAGACAACGGATCTCCTTGTTTCAAGCTTCTACTACTCCGGAAATAACCCTCAGGAGTGCCATTTACTAAAATCGAATACGAGACCGTAGATATACAAAAGTGAATCCAACGGCACCACTTGTTCCTAAAGTCACATCGCCTGAGCATATACAAAAGGAATCCTCAGTTTACGTGATCATAAGCTTTCTGAATATCAAGTTTACATAAAATCCCTGGAATCCCTCTACGCAATCTCGAGTCAATGCATTCATTTGCTATAAGTACAGAATCTAATATCTGATGCCCTTTGACGAAGGCATTCTGAAATTTAGACACCACCTTTTCCAACACCTCCTTTAATCTGTTAACCAGCAGCTTTGCAATAATCTTGTACACCCCGCTAACTAAGCTGATCGGACCAAAATCTTTAATATCTGATGCTTCTAATTTTCTTGGAATCAACACAATGAATGTAACATTAGAACTTCTCAAGAATTTGCCACACTGAAAGAAATAAGTAAGAACGTCCACAATGTTCGATCGTACCACTTCCCAACAAGCCTTATAAAATGAGAATGAGAATCCGTCCAGACCTGGTGCTTTATCATCATTCATGCTGAATACCACCTCCCTAATCTCATCCTCCTCAAATGGTCTCTCTAACCAACTTGCATCCTCCTCAGTAATAGTAGAGAAATCTAACCCCTCCAACTCTGGCCTCCAATCAAACTGCTCACGCTACAAGTTTTGATAGAAATTCACCATTTGGGTCCCTATCTTGTAGATCTTCATAAGTAACTCCGTCTACCACCAGCATGGTGATAGAATTGTTATGCTTGTTAGAATTGGCAACTCTATGGAAAAACTGAGTACATTGTCACCCTCCTTCAACCACTTAACATTAGATTTCTGATGCCAGGCTATTTCCTCCATCTCCACCAACCTCTCTAACTCTCCCCTTAATTCTCCACGTCTCACCCTTTCATCCCCTACCAATCCTTGACTCTCCTCCCTCTTATCTAGCTCTTCTATATCTAACATATATTGGTTTTTATGCCAGTTTACATCTCCCACCACCTCCTCATTCCACCTCTTTATATCCCTCCTTAAGGCTTTCAATTTTTGATCGAACACATAACTGAGAGACCCCCTGAAATTGTAAGATGCCCACTAGTCCCGTACACGCTCCCTAAAGCCTTCTATTTTTAGCCACATCTTCTCAAATCTAAAAGGTCTTCTTACACTACACCTCGCATTCCCAGCCAGTAAGATAGGGAAGTGGTCAGAATACATCCTCCCTAATCTTCTCTGGGTAACCGCTCGGTACTTCTCCTCCCATTTCCCACTAATCATGAACCAATCTATTCCCGATAAAATAGGCTACTCCCGATTAGAAGACCAAGTAAAGTCTCCTCCAATCAAAGGCAAGTCCACCAACATATTTTCCCTGATAAAATCTGAGAACTCCTCCATTGCCTTTGTTAATCTCCCACCACTTGAACTCTCAGTAGGAAATCGAGTCACATTAAAGTCACCCCCAAAATAAGTTGGAATGTTCCATCAAGCCATCATCCTCACTAATTCATCCCACAATCCACTTCTACTCTCGTCATCATTAGGCCCATAAACTCTTATAAACGTCCAATGAAATCCATTCTCAACATTTCTGAACGAAAGCGATAAAGAAAATAGTCCTTCACTAACCTCCTCCATATCAAGAGTTCTCGTGTCCCACATGACTAACACACCTCCTGAGGCCCCTGATGATTCCTTATATTGATACCCAACATGCTGTCCTCCCCATAAACTGCTCACAATAGCCCTCGAGACGAACTCCAACTTAGTTTCTTGTAAACAGACTAAGTCCGCCGTCCATCCCCTTAGCAGATTTCGAACCCCTAATCTTTTCTCTGCTACATTAAGCCCCCATACGTTCTAACTAATTATTTTTGGCATCATCTTAACGCTTTGTCATCCCTCCCAAGCAATCCTTTCTTTGACTCGACACCCTTGCCACTAATTTATTGACCATTCGAGCCACTTAAGTTCACGGTCACCTTTTCGTCTTGTTTTACCGCCTAGTATACTCATCCCCTGTCCCCTACTGGCCTCCAACTCCGTAAATAATTGTAACAGTCTACTTTCATAACCATCATAGGACACACCAACCAGCTTGTTGAAATCTTGAATTTTTTGAAGAACCCAATTTGAAGGTGGAGGACCTTCAATCGCATACACCTCCGTTGTTTCCTCTGCATGATGATATTCTAAGAAGTCATATGGGTATCCCTCTACTTCTTCCATCCGTTCGATATCACCATCAGTTCCTCTATTCTTGGCGCCATCTGCCCACAACACTAGATCTTTGTCAGTCCCTAATTCCTTTTCTTTTAGGGGCTTCAAATGCCTTCAATTATATGTGTTCTAAACTAAGGTGTTTGAACATGTCTCCTCGTACTGTTTCAGTTCAGTCAAAGCTCGACCATCGACTAATGTATTACGCCCCATTTCATACTAGTCAAAGGTCAATATTAGTTATTCAAAGTCAAATGTTTGACTGATCAAAGTCAAAGTCAA